AATTGACAATCATTTCACACTTCCCCCCCAAACCACTGCAAATCAACTATAGAAAGTTGTGAAGGAGGAAAGGGATCTGCAAAACAATTTGGAGATCTAAGGGAAGATCCTGGCTGCAGTGCGAACCAGTCCCAGAAACGGAGATGGAAGATCCTCTTGATAGATTCTTCCGTCTCTTCCCCTCCTGGCCACTCCACCTTACCCAGGCTCTTCCCTTGAGTTCCCCCCAGCCAGATCAAGACAAAACTTTGAATTGTTTCTTTAATATCCTTCTTTTGATGTAATTTCATAAGTCTGATCGTAGTTTTTTCCCATTGTGCTCTAATCTCAGTCTGAATAAATTGAACAATTATCTCATAGATTTTCCCCCCTTCCAAGGCTACGCTATCTCTTGCTAGGACACACCGTTTGTACCAAAGGGTCCATAATACTGTCTTTCTGCTTATAGTAAACAGATTACGCTGAAACTCGAAAAGTTCTAAGTCCATAGGTTCCCAATAACCCAACAAGATATCGCGCCATTCCCACGACCAATCTATCCCAGTCAATCCCCTCCAAGTGCAATCCCACCATCGCCATAATAGTACCGCACTTGGACACTGCATAAAGATGTGTTCAATGGTTTCACAAATTTTCCTATTAGGGAAAGTCGTATGACAAGACTTACACCATGGGAAAGCTAAACCTCTTTGTTCTAGACTTGAATGATCAATGAGCTAGTCATTTGTCGGCAAACATCGGTGAATAATCTGCCATTGAAGGGAGGCAAATTTAGCGGGTCTTTGTTTTAAGCTGTTAAAGAATTTCATATTTTTAAGAGTATTACGATCAATATTCAAATGTTTATGTCACCGTTCTTGCACAATTGCTGCTACATCCACCCTTGGTCTGAGGAGCCGATATGCTGCTTTAACTGTCATGGATTGTAGAGTTCTTSATTTTCCTTTCTTACTAATCCTCCAGACCCACTCCTCCGGGTCCAGGGGAAGATCTGGAATAGGATAATGAGGGTGGAAAGCTCTCCAGCTTTTCGTTGAAGAGTAATACACCACACGAATCCTGTAAAGGTCCATAAACGACAAAAACTTTACCTGGTTATTTTGGGATGGGTGTAAGAAAAAATCCTTAGTCATTTTACAAATACTCACAATAGCCCCTTCTGAGTGACTGTGAACGATCTGACCCACCTCCCATTCTTCTAAGCCAGTTCCCACTACCCAATCTCCCTCTTTGAAGACGATGCCTTTTCTTAGTGTTCTAACCCAAGCTAAGGGGATGGAGAAGATGATCTGCTCTAAATTGTTAGTCAGTTGGTGGGCATACCTGAGCCTTCCTCTTAATTGTTCCACTGTTAACCAGTTCCTGTTTTTTGTGTCTCATATATCCTTGATCCTTAACACTCCTCTTTTAACCCAAAGGGACCATGGAGGGTCGGAACTTTTGAAAACTACACCATTCTAATCCGTAATCCATTTGTTGCCAAAGAGGGGTTGTCCTAGGACCTCCTCATATCAGGAAGGGAAAGGTCTATGGGGTAGAGGTAAACAGCGCCATGTTTTTAATAAAGATACCCATAAGTTATTTAACAATAAATATTTTCTAGTTGCTCCCCTCAAGCCTTCTTCTCTTGACTGTGCCTTTGCCCTAGGAATGCTCCAAAATAAATCTTCCACCCATGTGAGAGGGTGAACATCCTCTGTAGTTTGTGGCGCCAATCTACGAATTTGTTCCAAAGCCATAGGTTGTCAGGGCTTATCATGAGAAAAGATTAGTTCTTTTAACCATTGAGTGCTAGCAATTGACATTGCGGAGACGGATCAAGAAGTCCTAATCCACCTCTGAGTTTGGGCTGGATAAGGGAAAGCCATGCCACTCTAGGGATAACATTTTCTAACTCGTGATTGCCTCTCCATAAAAATGTCACCACTTGTTTTTGTAGTCTCTTTATACTTGACTTAGAAATCGCCCATAAGAAAGATTTGTACCATATGGATGCTAAGACCATTAATAATCAATGCTTTTCCAAATAAAGAGGTTTGTTGGCTTTTCCATTGATTCATTGTCTCAATCGCCGGACGAGAAATCCAATCATCATTCGATATTGGTTTACCTAGTGTCGTAAGATCGATCCACCTCTAGTTGGAAAGCCATACCGGCACGGCACTGTTCAACAGTGATGTCCAGAGGACGATCGGTGGTTGCTGCATCGTTGCTGACTTTTTTTTCAGGGCGAGGCCGGTGGACTCAGTGGAGGACTCGCATTGTGAGTCGTGCACACAGCCTATGTTACTGTCCGAACGCTCTGAGCGCGCGTTCTTGTTCAAACGCTCGTGTTTAATCTCCCTCTGCGAGCGTTCAAACGCGTTCAAATGCGCCACGTGGCAGGGGGCGGGAAAAAATCGAACGCGCGCCCCCTGCCAGCATACGCACGTCATGCACCACCTTGGGGCGTGTGGCATTCACAAAAAGAAGTAAAAACAAAAACACAAAATACACCCACCCAGACATATACACACGCACACGCATACACACACAGACACACATGCGCTCAATTTTTTTTCATTTTTTTTTAGAGGTGTATGTGTATACAGGGGGTGGGGGGGAGAGAGAGAGAGAGAGAGAGAGAGAGAGAGAGAGAG